ATCTATCTATCTATCTATCTATCTATCTATCTATCTATCTATCTATCATCTATCTAATGATTCCTAAAGATCATGTGACTGTATGGATACTGCAACTGTCATAAATGTGAAAAACTGTCATAAAACTCTCTTTTCAGTGCCACTGAAAGTGCAGTCACTGAATGAATGGTTGTAAGTCAAGGACTACCATGCTTGCTTTTTATTCAGGTACGGAGGTAGTCCTTTATTTATAACAGTTCACTGAGTGACCATTCAAAGTTACAATGGCACTAAAAAGTTATTTATGACCATTTTTCACACTTATGACCATTGCAGCATCCTTTGGCAACTGGCATGAACTTATAACAGTTGCAGTGTCCCGGGGTCATGTGATCCCCTTTTGTGATCTTCTGACAAGCAAAGTCAATGGGAAACCCGATTCACATAACATCCATGTTACTAGCTTTAACGACTGCAATGATTCACTTAACAACTGCAGCCAGGAAGCCCATAAAATGGGGCAAAAGTCACTTAATAGCTGTCTTGCTTAGCAATGGAGATTTGGAGCTCAATTGTGGTCATACGTTGAGGACTACTTGAGGTCAAATGGAGACTCTCCACAGCTCTTGCAATGTTTTTTTGGCGAGAAAATACAAACAGCTGCACTTACCCATGTCTTTAATAGTTTCTCCTGGTAGCAAAGGGGGCTCTTCCATTTCAGCTAATTTATTTGATTCTCTGAGTATCTAAAACACAAACACAATATCAGGTGCACTCACCTTCAATACTTAAAAGTTCAAACATTCGAAACTTACTTACCCCACGTATAAAAAAATTACATGGAAAAAAAAAAGCAAGCCCAAGCAACAATGCCTGGCACCCATATTTGTCACCTGCACTCAGCTTTAACCTACCTGATTCACAGCTTCTAGGAAAATCTACAAGGGGTCTCCCATTTTGTTTTTCTGAGGTAATGCCCAAGGGATGAAATTGCGTGTCTTCACCAAACCTGACCACCTCCTACTTTGTTAGGCTCCCGTAAATTATTTTAAAAAGGGGTGTTAATAGCCCTTTAGTACATAAATGATGCCATCTTTTTTATAGCTTTGGATGATACCTAATTGTGTAATTTTACCTGTGATTTAGTTATTGTTACATTATGTAAATTACGTATACTGTGGAGAATGTAAGTAGCCAAGATTGACTGGTAAAAAAAAAATCAAATCAATGAATCGAATCCTATATTATATTTGAATGCTGCAATGAATCAATTAACTATATTTTTAAATAAATCTTGTGGTAAGAAGATAGGAACATTTATTCTTACAAAACTAAGGAAAGCCTTCCTGAGGAGGATCAGACAATTGTTGGGAACAGGAAAAAAAAAGAATAATTTAGACAGTCTTGAAGGTTTAGGTTTGGTTTTTTTTTGGAGTTTTGGTGTTTGTTTTTGCCCCGAAATAGAAAAAAGATATTTGTAGTCTTGCTCCTGTTTTTAAAAGTAATAGATAAAAGCATCCTATTTGCATCTGCATGAGATCATATTAATCATATACAGGTTTCCTGCAAATCCCTACAGAAAATTTCTATAGTTTTGCACACCAGCTAAAATAATTTGTAATAAATGCCTTTACTTTGTGTGTGTTTGATGATTAAGGAAATAGATAGGCGAATAACTGAGTTGGGAATGACTGAATCCATTAAAAAAAAAAAACCCACCACTCATCCTATAGAAAAAGCATTCATCAAAATCTTGACATGAAGGAGAAATAAAGTAGAAACCCTATCAGCTGACAGGACATTTTATAATGATTCAAATAGAAAAATTGTCAAGTAGGATACTAGGTAGAGAACAAATGCCTTCTTGAAATAGTATTTAAAAAAAAAAAGTTTTCTGTCATATCCAGGCAAGAGCAGAGGGATAAATTTACACCTTGACAGAGGCTTTACCTGGCATAACAGAAATAAGGAATTTTCTCTTCCAAACCGAAGGGAAAGAGCAGCTTATGGCTCTGCCCATAGGTTGTCATCACAGCTTTACTCATGGCAGTGTCCCTCTCCCCCAAATGCTAAGTAGAGCCCCTATCTCCCCACCCCCTGGTTCCCCGCCCTTTTGGCAAAAGCCTTCCCCCCCCCCCCACAAACAAGGTAATAAAGAAGGTGATGATCTTCTTTTAATGACCCCATAATCCCTTGCAGGGTGGAGTGTGGGCAACTGAATGGAACTGAATGTTTACTGGCTGGATGCCCTTCCTGTTGCCAGTGCGGTGTTTTGTTCAGCAGATATATACTCACTGTGCCCAGAGAGAGAGAAATATCTGCCTCTACTTAGGAGCGAACTCACAGCCTCCTGATTGTGAGGCGAGAGCTCCACCTCTAGGCCAATGCGCCACTCATAATAAAGAAGTGATGCTCTCCCAAAAATACATTTCTGCCCTTAATCCAATGAGTTCCCTGTTTTCCCTTATTCGGCCCATTTGGGTATCTGTCTCAGTTGTTCTGCTCTTCTGAATCCTCACCTTCCCCATCCTTTGCATGTCTTGGGCATACCAGAGGCTGCCTATGCAAAGAGGGATTCTGTAACAATCCAAGTCCTGCCCATTTTTATATTCAGCATGTAAAAAAAGGCAAATGGTTTCAAATGTGCGGCTGTGGCTGCAACTCAACTATTTTTGACCCCAACCCCATTGGAGGCTCCTGACTAAAGATTTCTTTACTCAGAAGAAATGAGCTTACTGCTGAGTAGCAAAGACACTATAACACCATTAGACATCTGCTTGTTTAATCATGGGGATTAAAATCTCACGACTGTATTCTCATTACCTTAAACCACAGGCTTCAATTCCCTGTTAAGCCCCTTTCCTTCCATGAGAACAGGTTTCTTCTACATCAGTTCTTAGTTTATCACAGTTTGTCAGGGTGTCTTGATTTGATGCCCTCAAATGTGGCAGTAAGCCATATTTGCACTGTGTGCATGATGAGCCAGTAACAGCAGTCTGGTTTTAATAAATTAAGCTATAAATCATGGTTTACAAATCACAATGGCTGGTTTCATATGTCATGTAAGCCCCAAATCCATCAAAGCACAATAGCAAAATACATAACTTTTAGGTGCCATCATTTACTGAAATTACGATAATTAGTCAGCTGGGTTATCAGAGTGCCACTTGATGTGTCCAGTTGGAGTTTGCCCAAATAAAACCTAAAACTTTCCAAAACACTCTTTCCAGCTGTATGGAAAGGAGATAAGGCAAGCGTTTGATACTGAAGATCAATGTGGCTTCTGTAAAATAACAAACCTTTTCAACGTGGTTTGTTTAACCACAGTTTGCTAAATAAGCTATGATAGCCTGGGTTTGTACAACATGGTAAGCCATAGAGCACATTTTATGAAGTAAAATTCCTAGGTTCTATACAATAGTACAATAGGCTGGAATCAAATACAGGTAGTCCTTGACTTAAAACCATTTATTTAGCCCTGTTGAAAGTTATAAAGGCACTGAAAAATTGACTTATGATCGGTCCTCCCACTTAGGACCATCACAACATCCCTGTGGTAATGTAATCAAAATTAAGACACTTGGCAACTGGTGTGCATTTATGATGGCTGCAGCATCCTGGGGTATGTGATTCCCATGTGCAACTTTCCCAGCCAGTTTTGGACATAGGGAAATTTGGATTCACTTCACAACTATGTGATCCACTTCACTGCAGTGATTTGCTTAAGAACTGTGGCAAAAAAGGTCATAAAGTTGACCCAGCACAATTAACAACTGCCTTGCTTAGCCACACAAATTCTGGTCCCGATTGTGATCATACGTTGAGGACTATTGTAGAGGATATGATGTTTTACTATGCTGAGTGCAACCATTTGCTCTGTGTTGAAGTAGAGCATGTATAGATATAAAATGAAGACTTGCTAGACAGAATCAATTGTCCAGTGATTTTCATGAACCAACTTTGTTATCATCTTTCGCCAAGCTATTTCCAGTTTGCTCAGTTTCTCCTTTGGACAAAAAAAAAAACACCTTTAGGAATCAGCTTAATTTTTAAAACAATCTTTTCTTTTTAAAAAAATTCAAATCTTACTTGGCACCCAACTACACTTTACCACTTAACAAAATGCATTAGATCAAAAAGAGAAACTGAATTTTTGGAGCAGTGAAGTAGACTGCTACTTCCTTTACTTCCTACAAAGACCATTGAGAAAAATCATTGCAGACTTTACTATTTCAACATCTTTTTTAAAAAAAACCATTTGCTGATTATTTAGTGATGATCGTTGTACTGATGGATAAATTATGAGTTACGGTTAAATTAAATTAGGGGCGAGTTATCTCAGCATCTCTAAAAGAGGAAAGAGGAATTCATTTCTGTATGGATTCCAATAAAAACTGCAGGCATTTGGCAAAAGGTTTGTCATATGATGATAGAAGAACAAGACTTGCTAGACAGAATCAATTGTCCAATGATTCTCATGAACCAACTTCGTATCGTCTTTCCCCATGCTATTTCCAAATGCTCAATTTCTCCTTTAGGCACTTTGCAATAGGAAGACTGAAAATCGTAGCTAAGTCACAATAAGAATGAACACCACAGCCTTGAAGAGGAAATAATGGATCTCTGCTCAAAAGGTCACTCCAAGGCCACCAGCTTGTACCCTTCAAATCTGGTTCTTCTCAAATGACAACCAGAGATAATTGCAGGAGAGCATTCTTGTTTCAAGATGGGCACCTATGCAAATACTCAAGGACCTTGACTAATTCTGAGATAATTTTTTTTCTATGCCTGCCTTTTGAAATACCAACCAGACACTTCTATTTTTCCTTGTCTCAGAGACAAAAGATTGAGCGAGGCTGGCTTTCCCCTGATCTAATGTGCACTAAATTTAAATTTTTCCTTGATCTAATTTGCACTAAATCAATAGACTGTAACCTGGTCTTTGACAAGTCTATGACGAGAGAGCTATAAAAAGAAGACAGAGGAAGGACAAAACTAAAAGAAGATCTTGCTAAATAAGCTAAATTCTTTTGCAACTGGTGAATGGCAAGGAGGAGGAAAGGAACCGGAGGGTTTATGAGCTTGGATATCTTTTTTTTTTTTAATCAAAGGCAAAGAAGATTGTATGAAGCCAGCTTGCCAGCTTCAGGGGTGCTGATGCAAGTAGAAATTCCTGCATGCCCTTCACGCTTTCAGGGATATTTACCAAAATAGCCAGAAAAGAGAGAAATTCCTGCCATTTCTGGTGTAGGTTTTTGTTGTGTTGTTTTTAAAACATTTATTTCTGTAAAAACTCATGTTATCACTTTTAATCCAGATATTAAAACACATTCAATGTAATTAAAAAAACCCACACACAGACACATTCTAAAACCCAGTCAAGATAAAATGAAAAAAAAAAATCTTTAAAGTAATCAATGGCCACAAGTAACAGTAAAACATTCTCTATGTGAAAATGTGAGGTATCATAAGCATGTAGTTGTCTCTGCTTGGGATAAAAGACCATCTCATCATCAGTTTTAGTTTTAGTTTTAGTTTGTTTTAGTTTTAGTTTTAGTTTAGTTGTTTAGTTTCTTGTCATTGCACCTCATACAATGAAATCAAACACCATCTTCAGTGCACATCATGACCATTAAAAAAAACACACACATCTTTCACACTCCACACATTGAATTGAAAACCCCCGACACTGCACCAACACTGCACTATACAGTAGAGTTCAATAGAGTTACTGCCCTGGGATAGAAGTTGATTTTTTAGCCTATTTGTCCTTGTTTTTATTATTCTGTACCGTCTGCCAGATGGTAATAGTTCAAAACAGTGGTCGCCAACTGGTGGGCCGTGACCCACTGGTGGGCCGTGAGAAAATTTTGGTGGGCCGCAGAGAAATCTCATCCCCAGAGCAATTAATCCAGGCTGCGCAGAAACACAAGGCTGCGCCGCCCACATGGCCTGCGGGAACCCTCCCCACCCACTCACTCCTTACCCGGCAAACTTGCCTGCTAAATTGCTATTTTTCCTTTTTCCGACCATCAGGTGTTCTGCTGTGCCGGGAGATTTAGATTAGCTAGGAAGCAGGAAATGGTTGGATTTCTTGCTTTCTAGCTAGTCTTTAGATCTTCAGCTCTGCTTTTAAGCACAGCCGAACCTCCCTTAGGACTCAAGTTTCGCTTGTGAGCAAATTCAGTGCAGACTCACGACAAGCAAATTTGAGAGACTGAGCTAGACGGTGGCAGATAGATAGATCACTGAATGATTCTGTGAGCAACTCAATCTGCCTGCCTGCTTTGCCAGATTTTGGGTAAAAGCAGCTCTTTTTTCATAAAAAAAATCAATATTTATATAAATATTTATAATATTTACATACAAGCCATGCCCAGCCACACCCAAGCCACACCTACAAATTAGGCCACGCCCACAGAACTGGTTAGTGGTCCCTGGGATTTAAAATTATGAGTTTGGTGGGCCCTGAGGTCCAAAAGGTTGGCGACCCCAGTTCAAAAGACTGTCTCATCATCAGAAACAAAAGTTAATGTCTAAGGTTCAAAAATCCAGATGACCACTAGTTGGCAGCAAAGATCCTGAACAAGTCAAACCGTTCAAAGTTAGCTGAACAATGCCAACAAACTGAGGGCAAACCAGCAAACCACATTCATCGGTCAGCAACTGGACATCAAATGTTTTCCATAAAAACTTGAGTTCCCTCAAATGGCCACTCCTTTTTCCTCCCTTTGAACTTGTCACTTGACTACTTACTCCTCAGAATGAGAGAGGGAGAAAACCTAATCTTAGAGCAGATGCATGAGATTCTTCCTATAAGGAGCAACAGCTTCCTAATCGATTTCTGGAATTCTAGAAGCAGCCCATAGCTCACAGGTTTCTACCTTGACAAGGTCAAGATCTTCTGAAGAACCCTCAAGAAACAATGTAAAAGTCAACGTTTAAAGCCCAGACTCACCATTACCAGGACTAGAATTCATGCTCTCCTATCTATCATCTATCTACACCTATCTGAAAAAGAGAATGGCAAATTTTACTTATTTGTGGAAAGAACTTATATGGAAGTTGCACCACGTCAATTGCTAGTTATAAGCAACACAATAATTTTCAGTAAGAATATCTTGTATTGTAAACAAATATTTATTTCTACTATAGTAGCTTGCTTTCTTTTACCTTCAATCATAGGCCATAGAACATAAATGACTTTTGCATGAAAATTACATCATATGATCTCAACATGAAACACACCAAAAGTCCAAAGCTAACAAAAGGATCAGCTGTTGGTTCAACTAATGTGGCATTCATTTCCTATTCCTAAGTGCCAGGTCAAAACGTAACAGGAAGCATTCATGGAAAAGCAGTTTATATTTTCCATTTTGGCTAAGTAACACTGAGGATGTGAACACAGTGAACAGTGACATAAACACATAATAATAATATCAGTTATAGCATAGGGCAGCATCTGGTGAATTTGGCAAACCTCCCTAAGGAGAAGCAGGATTGACCTTGTTGGTACCTGGATGGAAAACTACTAGAAAAGTCCAGGATTGCATCCCAGAGAAAAGGCTAAACTACAAATTTGAAGAAAAAAAATCATCCCAGAAAAAAAGGCAACAGGAACCCTTCTATAGGTTCTAAGATGGACGAATACATGTTGACCTCAACATGTATTTGACCATCAAAAAAACAAAAGCAAAGTAAAATAGAAATAGTCCTTGCGCATTAAGGAAAAGGTATTAGGAAAGCAGTTTTCTCAATTTAGGTTGAATACACTGAACACACTTCATTCAGTGTGTACTTTATATGTACACATATGAAGGCTCCTTGGTGCTCTCAGAGCTTGCTTGTTTTTTTGCAGATGTTTTATTACCCTAACTAGGTAACATCATCAGTGCTAGTAAGGAGTGGGGTTTGCTGTCAGTTTATATTCTGGTGACTTGTCTGTCTGGGTGGGTGGGGACGATCTTGGTTGGCCTGTTTACTGATGGCTCTTTGGCAGTTCCTTGATTAGGGTATTGCTTACTTGTTTGTTGGTCTGAAGTTAACCTTGGAGTTAATCTATGCCAGGGGTCCCCAAACTTGACAACTTTAAGACTTGTAGACTCCAGCCAGCTAGAATTCTGGGAGGTGAAATCCACAAGTCTTAAAGTTGCCAAGTTTGGGGACCTCTGATCTATGCTGATCTTATTGTTGGGAGTGGTGCTGGGGTCCCCTTTTGGGTTGGCTAATTGTCTACGTACAGCCTACAGATGTAGTTAATATCTATATGACTATTGATGGCTGATTTGTCAGAGTGCCAGGCTTCTAGAAATTCCCTGTCATTTTTGGGCTTGGACTGGTCTAGGATTGCCTCACACACACATATAAATATTTAAATATTTTGTTCCCACCCAATTTAATTGTACATAGTACACCTTATTCATCCCATGCCTCTGCTAAGGTGTTCATCAACTCCGTTGCTTACCCTCAAATCAGGAGAAAAGTTCTCAGTAGAGGTGGAGATAGAATCCGATGAGATGACTGAAGCTGATTTGGTATGTGCTGAATGATCCGAATGAGAGGTAGAAGCACTAGAAAACAAGGGTGAGAAAAAAGTAAAATCTAGAAACAACGGTTTGATTTTGTAGAGTTCTATAGACCAAAAAAAAATTGCTTTATCTTCTTATCTTACCAGTCCCAGGAGCAAGCGTGGAGCTTTCACCTGAAGATAGGGAGAAATTCTCCTCAAAATGTCATCCGTTGGATAGCAATAGCAGTAGCATTTAGGCTTATATACCGGGAAGTTTCCAATGTAGAAGTGTTATTTGCATATCCCAAAGGTGCTTTTTCAAGAGGCAGCTGGACTTCCTTTTTCTTTGAAGATATTTCTCTTCTCATCCAAGAAGCTTCTTAGTTCTGTCCCTTTGTAGAAGCTTCTTGGATGAGAAGTGAAGCATCTTCAAAGAAAAATCAGAAAGTCCAGTTGCTTCTTGAAAAAAAACACCTTTGGGACAACCATGGCCTGGAAGACTGAGAATCTCCATAAACATAATTTGCATATTTCCCACATAGTCTGGGTCCTAGATGCAATTATGATACTCTTGAACAACAACAAAAAAAAACCCTCAACTGAACTATTGTATTCAAACACACTAAATTAATTAGTCTCTTATAAGCACAGCCCAACCTATAGTGAACTTCTTGTAGCAGTATCAGAATAGATTAGCTGATGGTCTTTGAGGTTCTGTCTAACTCTAACCATTCAACTCTTCCATATCTTTGCTTATGAGAGGAGAAAGGGAACCTTCAGGTGTTGCTGAACTACAGTTAGCAGAATCCCTCCTTACTCCCACCATGGGGGTACTGGACCGTCATAAGTGTGAAAAACCATCATGTCACTTTTTTCAGTGTCATTAAACCAGTGGTGGGATTCAATTTTTTTTTTACTACCAGTTCTGTGGGTGTGGCATGGTGGGCGTGGCAGGGGAAGGATACTGTAAAATCTCCATTCCCACCCTACTCCTGGGGAAAGGTTACTGCAAAATCCCCATTCGCTCCTCACCCCACTAACCCGCTTTCCAGCTCCGTTCTCCTGTGCAGGGCAACAAAAGAAGACCCAGCCAATCAGCTGGGACTTAATGGGAGGCAGAGAATAGATGGGGGCAGGGCCAGTAAGAGGGGGTATTTGCCGGTTTATCGAACTACTCAAAATTTCCACTATCTTCTCCAGAACTGATCAGAACCTGCTGAATATCATCTCTGCATTAAACGGTCAGTAAATGAACAGTTGTAAGTTGAGGTCTAACTGTATTTCCATCGAGTGAGCTTTTTCTAACAACCACATTTTTTTAAAAAAAAAATGGAAACCTATGGATTTTTTTTGCTGAAATAAGAGAAAAATGAATTGAATTCTGGATTGGAAGATTTAGAAAGATGAGGATTAAAGGACAGCGATTTGCAAAATATTTAAGAGGCAGAGGGGACAATAATATTGTAACAATCTATTGAAAAAAGAAGTCAGAAGTATATATTTATAATACTTAACTTTAGGGAGGTAGCTGTACATTTTCGGTTTTCTTTTTCTTTCTTTTGACTTGTCTTTTATTGTACGAAAATTCTTAATGCATTTAAATTTTTAAAAATTCATTTTATGCTGGCCATTGTCATACAATAGTCTGCAGTATTCCAAGCATTGCTCATATATGATTGGCTTTTCTTGTTGTTTTTAACATTGATGGCTGGGAAGAAGTGCCTAAGTTAAAAGTCAGTCTGCTTAGTAAACAAAGCTTTGATTGTTGCCCTCCCAGAACAGAAAACTAACCAGTCATTGAAATTCAAGACATGCTTCCTATGGAATAACCTCTGGTTGCGATTGAATCATGCTATTCATGAGTCAAAAAGAGCGTAAACCCAGCCCCTTGGTACTGACTATAGAATTATATTCCCCTTAAAAACCCTCCTTTTCTTACAACATTGAGGAAAAAGACATTGTACTAACAAAATCTGATTAGATTTTGAATATTTCTTTAACTTGAAGAAATATTTACACGTAGTAGAAGTTTAACTAAATTTAAGCAAGAATGCCTTCCCTGCATATTATAACAAATGCAGCAAGGCAAATACAAAAAAGCTAGAATAAGGTTTCTAAAGTTTGTGTTCATAAACACTATAAATCAGTTGGACTTCACTGAAGGGGGGTAGTCACAATCCAGATACTTATCTATGCTATTTTTAGTAGTTATTTTTTCCCCTCTATTTTAACTTGTTTTTCCTCTTTTCTTTTTTTAGCATTTATAAATAGCAACACAAAGGATATTTTGGCTGCAACCATTATATGCCTTTTAGGCCACAAACAATGCACTTGTCTCAGTACGATTAATCTTTGATTAAGGTTATATTGAGCATTAATTGTTGTTTTTTCAAAAAGACAAAGGAAGCATGTCATGGAATTGACAATATGCTTGAATTTATAGTTGGGAACATAAGACTCCTTAAGTGGATCTGGTCCTTTTTTTACTCCTTTTAAAATGTAAAGGCAGAGATTTTGGCAGGGCAGAGGACAGAAAAAATATTTAATCTTTTTCTTGCCAGCTGAATGTGTAAAATTGCCTGCTTTCTTGACTGGAGTTTTAGAATGTCTACCGTTTCCTATCTCTATATTTCTTTCTTTTCTTCTTTTTTTGGCTGGTTTTGTATCATGAAAAATCACTTAGAGAAAAAAACAAAACCACACCAATTTTTCCAAAGATATTTCCAATTATTAGTTCTTAGTGCTACCATCTGGGAAGCAGCAATCATACAGGTTTTAAGGCAGGGGATCTTCAAACTTGACACCTTTAAGACTTGTGGACTTCAACTCCCAGAATCCCTGTTAGCTCAGGAATTCTGGGAGTTGAAGTTTTAAACTTGCCAAGTTTGAAGACCTTTGTTTTAAAATGTTGGTTCAAGCTTTTAAACGTAAATGACTTAATTTCTGGTTACTTGAATGCCTGCCTCTCTTTTGGGGAGGAATAAAATCTGTAGAAGAGATTGCAGGAGAGGACTTTTCGGTTGGCATTCTCTTAAGAGGTCCCTCGCTTTCTTTGTTAAAACCTCAGCTTTTTAACCAGGTACTCAGAGTTTATTTTTCAATGGTGCAAAGATGTGCTTGTATATTGCAATGATTCGTTTCACCTGATCTGGTTCTAGCTCTCTTTGGATTATGAGTTGACTTGATCAACTTGTATGATTGAAAAGGCAGAAGCACACAATCCAAACGAACAGACGTATTCCATTGTTTCCCTCTTTTCTCTGTATTTTCTATGTTAAGCAAGATAATAGATAGTAATTTTCAACAGTCATTAAATGAACTGTTGTAAGTTGAGGACTATCTGTAATTAGGTATCTGTAATTAGAACCACATTGGCGCAGTGCAGAGGAGCAGTTTCTGATCAGCTCTGGAGAACCGGTAGTGGAAATTCTGATTAGTTCAGAAACCGGCAAATACCACCTCTGACTGGAGATTTTACAGTATCCTTCCCTTGCCATGCCCACCAAGCCACGCCCACAGAACCGGAAATAAAAAAAATTGAATCCCATCACTGGCGCAGTGGTTAGAATGCACTACTGCAGGCTACTTCTACTGACTGCCAGCTGCCTGCAATTCAAAAGTTCGAATCTCACCAGGATCAAGGTTGACTCAGCCTTCCATCCTTCCGAGGTGGGTAACATGAGGACCCAGATTGTTGGGGGCAATAGGCTGACTCTGTAAACCGCATAGAGAGGGCTGTGAAGCACTGTAAAGCGGTATATAAGTCTAAGTGCTATTGCGATCTCATTGGAAAGCTCAGAGTAGAAGGCAAGTTTCTAAGACTAAGCATTGGGATGCTTGGATAGGGAACATCTTGGATCAAATCTTCATTATAGAACACCATGCTCTGTCCCAAAATAGAAATACAGGTGGTTCGTTTTCTGTGCATCCTACACATCACATTAAAATATGCCGTGAGTCCTTGTGCTGACAGACACCCAATCTACACCTTTGTGACTGCTGTTGTTTTCCTTCTTGAGAAAAAACGACCTATCTGCCTACTAACCAATCTACCTGCCTAACTTTGAACCCTCTCTAAACTCAAGGACTATCTCTACTAGATGTGATTAAGTGTACAGGTAGTCCTCAACATACGACCACATTTGAGCCCAAAATTTATGTCATTAAACATGAGAAATTTGTTAAGTGAGTTTGCTCCATTTTACAACTTCTCTTGCCGTGTTTGTTAAGTGAACCATCACAGTTCTCAAATTAGTAACACGGTTGTTAAGTGGATCTGGTTTCAACCATTGACCTGGCTTATCAGAAGAGCGCAACAAGGGATCAACATTGACTCCGGGATGCTGCAACCGTCATAAATATGAGTCAGTTGTCAAATATCCCAATGTAAGTCAAGTGACCATAGAGATGCTGCAATGGTCATAAGTGTGGAAAATGACCCCAAGTCACTTTTTTCAGCCCTGTTGTAACTTTGAACAGAGATGTAAATTGAGGACTACCTGTATTCAGGTTTTAGAGACTGATTACATTCCAGGACTGAAAGAAATACTTCAACAAAACTGCTAGAGATGGTTAGAGCGGAGTTTCTCTACCATTGCAACTTTAAGATGTGTGGACTTCAACTCCCAGAATTTATAGCTGACTGGGAAATTCTGGGAATCGAAGTCCACACTTCTTAAAGTTCCCAAGGTTAAGAAATACTTTGTTAGAGTAAGGCAGAGAAGTCATTGCAACAATACAACTGAAGAACTAGATGAAACAAGGTATGCTACAGTAAATGTAAGTCCAGTGTCAAAAACAGTTCAGTATCAGACTTACATCAAATCCAGGAATATCAGTCAATACAGGAACGGCAATACTCTCCAACAGAAGGAAAAAGAGATTCACTGAGGCACATTATCTTCTGAGACTAAGACTAGACAACCCAGGTTTCTGGCTCCATCTTATGGCCATTTGCAGAACCACACCCAATTACAGTTTTGCATTTTCTTAAAGATACAGTTTAAAAATGTTTCTCCTGGTTTATACATTGTCCAACCCAAAGAGCTGTTAGGTGACTTATATTCCTAACACACATAGCAAATGGTAGCCCCCAGCAGCCTTCAATAATGTCAAAAAAAGCTAAGCAGGGCCGGACCTGATTAGCATTTGGATGGGAGACCAAAGAAATCCCAGGAATATACACTAGATTGGGAAGCCAAAAAAACTCTCAAGATAGCAGCAACAAACCACTTCCATGTCAGGACCCTATGGATGTGTCTATGAAATCAGCAGGAGTTGAGATTCGCTCTAGAAATCTTTCTTGTTTACTCAGATACATTCAGAATTCCCTGGTTCAGGGAATTCCCTGGAAAAGCTGCATTGACTGATAGATTCAACAATCCATATTTTCCAAATATTTCTTGGAGAATTCTTGCCCTTGATTGATCTCTAGAATACTGAATTAATTCACCATTTTTTGGCCAGCCTTACTCTATAATAAACTCATGATCCATGTATATCTACGGACTTTACTGTTTTTTGTTCAAGAATGTTATAGTATTGGATAACAATGATTAGCAAATAAAGGATAGCAATGAACTGAATACACTATCCAGGAAATAGTCGTGGCTACCTGATTTCTAAGCTAAGAGCTTTCCGTGCACAATATTTTGCGGTAGGACTTAATTGCAAAGTCATGGTCCTCAGTTAACTCCTGGGCTGCATTCACACAATGCACTCAATTACATTTTGTACAGATAGTCATTGAGTTTAGTGATTGTTCAAAATTACAATGGCACTGAAAAAAGTGACTTACAACTGGACCTTGGAGTTATGACCATTGCAGCATTCCCCATGATCATGTGATCAAAATTCAGTTGCACTTGGCAACTTGCATAAATTTTATGAAGGTTGCAGAATCCCTGGATCGTTTGATCGCAATTTGCAACCTTCCCAGCTGACTGGGAAAAGTTGGGTTCATTTAACAACTAAACAATTCATTGCACAACTGCAGTGATTCCCTTAACAACTGTGACAAAGAAAGTTGTTAAACTGGGTGTGGCTACTTTGTTACCATCTTGCTTAGCTACAGAAATTCTGGGCCCAAGGTGTGGCCATGAACTTGAGATCTACCTGCAAAGCAGATGCATTCACACATCCTACTGATTCCGGTTAGAGTTAACCTCCCTTGTTTTTTTGTGATTGAGTGAGTGCTGTAACCCCAACCTTTTGGATGACAAGAATGTTTGGTGAGAAGACAGAAAACAAATTTAGCAAACCAAGGAAATTTACCAGCATACTCCCCTGTAAATGTGTTAGGGGGAAAACCTCCCACAGTGCCCAGCAATGCATCTGGAGAACACAAATTTTGGAAACCGTGCCAATCTTTCAACCTCTTTTATAACAGTGAAGCTACAGTCTATGGATATTCTCGGCCATCCAGGTCATGGTTATACCAAAGGTGCTTTTTTCAAAAGTCAACTAGACTTTGTTTTTTGTCTTGAAGATGTTTCGCTTCTCATCCAAGAAGTGAAACTGAAGAAGCTTCCTGGATGAGAAGCGAAACGTCTTCAAGGAAAAAAACAAAATCCAGTTGGTCTTTTGGAAAAAGCATCTTTGGGACAGCGAAGCTACAGGTTAAATTCAATCAAGGCTAAATCCCTTTTAGTGGATTTTCTACCTTCCTTGGCCAATGGGTTACAGCTAAAATTAGTGGTCAAGCCGGTGAAATTTGCTCGTAAATAAATAACCTTGGTTGCTCCCAAGTAAGTGTGCAAAGCATGCTCACCTAAGCCTTCTGGAATAACGCCTCTTAAACCCACCAGGATGCAAACATCCAGAGGATCCGGCTGCAAGAAATCCTAACCCTGAGATTGGCCCTGGCTCTCAAACTGAAACATAGGTAGTCCTCGACTTTCAACGGTTCACTTAGTGACCATTCAAAGTTGCAACAGCACTGAAAAAAGTGACTTATGGCCATTTTTCACACTTATGACTGTTGCAGCATTCCCATCATCAGGGATGCTTGACAACTGGTTCATATTTACGACAGCGGCGGTGTCCGTCAGTGTGTGTGTGTGTGTGTGTGTGTGTGTGTATCATGTTGATCCCGTTTTGTGACCTTCTGACAAGCCACGGGGAAGCCGGGTTCACTTAACAACCGATGGTACTAATTTTAACCATGGCAGCGATTCCCTGAACAAAACGTGGCAGGAAAAAGAGGCCAAAAAACTCAAACCCATTTTTTCACTCAGCAACATAAATGCTGGGCTCCATTATGGTCATAAGTCAAGGACTACCTGCACCAGCCTGGCTGCAGCCTACAACCAGAGAGGCGGTTGCAAAAGAAAGGGAATCAAAGCGTCCAATCTTTGCACCAGCTCTTCTTCCTTGCAGCTGGAAGAACGAACATGCAGCCTTTCCAGATGTCGGGCCCTCCAATAAAACCCGGATCAGACCCCACTCTCCCCCCCCCCCCGCCTTTTCCCCCATCATCAAACCACGAATCTAGGTCTAGCAGGAGCTCTGCTCTTCTCTCCATCCGCGTCGCCCTCCTCCTCCTCCCACCACCCTCGCCTCCTTTGCCCCGGGAGAGATGCGGTACCTGGAGAGGGAATCCGAGCTGGGCTGGCGGGTGGCCGGCTGAGCCGGCTTGGAGGCGAGGCTCTCGCAGCTGGAGCACTTCTCCATCTCGGATGCGGAGCCGCGGGGCCGGCGGAGGGGTCCCGCCGACGCGCTGGAGGTTTGGGTGGGGGGCAAAGTCACAGCCTGTCACAGCGTCGGGGAGCCGAGAGGGGCCGAGGAAGCTGCCATCTTTCGCCCACAGTGCAGCGCGCAGGGACGGCAGGCTGCGACGCCCCCGACGGTCCCTCCTCCAAGCCTTCGGGAGGCGGCTGCCCGCCGCCGCATCGCCAGAGCGCCGGGAGAAGGGCCAGCGCCGGAGGCTGTCGCGGGGATGCTCGTCGGGAGCGCGCTGCCTTGAGGGCTTGGGCCGTCCGCCTGCCTCCCAGCTTCTTCGCGCTCTTAGGGAGCTGCCGGGATGCGCGCCACAGGCCGGGGCGCGCGCGGGGGTGGGTGTGCTTGGAAGTGGGTGGGTCGGGTTTGATTCCCTTCGCCCTGACGTAGCATCAACCGATCAATATTTATATGTAGAGAAAGATGATAGGTAGGTAGATAGGTCGATCGATGGATAGAATGTATATATACTATCTATCATCTATCAATCTATAGCCTGCCTGCCTGCCTGCCTGCCTATCTCTCTATCTCTCTCTCTATCTATCATCTATCTATCTATCTATCTATCTATCTATCTATCTATCTATCTATCTATCTATCTATCTATATCTATCATCTATCTATCAATCAATATCTATCTATTATCTATCTATCTATCTATCTATCTATCTATCTATCTATCTATCTATCTATGAATCTATCTCTATCTATTATCTATCTATCATCTATCTATCTATCTATCTATCTATCATTTATCAATCATCAATCTATCTCTATCTATCAATCTATATCATCTATCTATCTATCATCTATCTATCAATCTATCTTATTTTCTCTCTCTCTCTCTCTCTCTCTTTCTCCCTCCCTCTCTCCCTCTCTATCTATTCTGTTTCTCCAACAATACGGCCTCCCCCAATAGGAAGTCCCAGCATGTTTTATAGGCATGAAATGAAATTAAGCCCCTCCCCCCAAATTAAGGCCTATATTAAAACATGCGAAATGGGGGGAATGGTGGTGGGGGGCTTGCCGTTAGGAAGTACTTTTGTTGCACACCCGGAAATGGTGCTGCCTGCATTGAACCCGATGCGAAGTGCCCCACCAACGCCGAGACTAACATCCAAGCCGTTGCTGTCCGCCCGAAGATGCAAGTGGGGGGGGCCTCAAAAAAAAAAAAAGACCCGGCCTTATTATATGAGAAACAAGGTATCTATCATCTATCTATCTATCTATCTATCTATCTATCTATCTATCTATCTATC